TATCAGTCTCAGCAGTATTTATAAGTCCAAAGTTCAGAGTCTCTTCTGAGACTCGAGGCAGTCTGTCACTCCTGTAAAATAGAAATGAAAAGACAGATCACATACTTTGAACAAACAGTGACATAGAATATATACATTCCGGAAAGGGAGCATTGTGAGGAAATCCTGAACCAAAGCAAGACCTCCACCCAGCAGGACAGACTCTATACTCTGCATCCCCACGTATGATGCCAACATGCTCTTTGATCTCCTACTCCTTTCAGGATTATTGACTGTGACACACTTCTCTGTCTTGAGCTCGTTCTACGCCCCATATGTAGGTTTCCTTGGCAGGTATCCCACGACTCTGGCATCTCTAATATCTTGGTGTTTCCAGCATTGGGTCTTTCTACGAAGCTCTGGATGTATTGGAACACTCTATGTAGATCAGGCTGGCTTTACTGAGATCCACCTGCCTCTACCTCTAGGGTGGTGGAATAACCTCAGTGGCAATATTTACCATTAAAAAAGATTGTTGGCTGCCACATGGATGGATCTGAATTGATCTTGGGAGGATAAGAGTAGCGACAGGTGACCAGCATCTTTAGTACTGGAACAAGTAGTTGAATGAAGGGATCCTGGAGCCATTTGTTTTGAATTTCCTTTTTTTTTTTTTTTTGGTTTTTTCGAGACAGGGTTTCACTGTATAGTTCTGGCTGTCCTGGAACTCACGCTGTAGACCAGGCTAGCCCTGAACTCTCGAACTCAGAAATCCACCTGCCTCTGCCTCCCAAGTGCTGGGATTAAAGGTGTGCGCCACCACCGCCCGGCTGTTTTGAATTTCCATGTGCTAGGTTTTCTACTGAGTTTTTCTTCCTTGACTGTATCTTCTGTTGTCCTTGGAGGTCTGGGAGGGACTGAATGTTGTGAAGACAGGCCGGGTGATGCTCGGAGAGACCAACCCTGCAGACTCTAAGCCTGGGACCATACGAGGAGACTTCTGCATCCAAGTTGGCAGGTAAGAATTGATACTTTCCACCCTTTTCTCAAATTCAAGCTAGTTGCCACAAGAATTTGAGCCTCTGAGTCTAGAAATGAACATGATACCGTCTGCAGGTCAATTCATTTTATTTGTTTTATTTTAGCTTTTTTTTTTTTGTTTGTTTTTGTTGTTTTTGTTTTTTGAGACAGGATTTCTCTGTGTAGCCCTGGCTGTCCTGGAACTCACTTTGTAGACCAGGCTGGCCTCGAACTCAGAAATCCCCCTGCCTCTGCCTCCCAAGTGCTGGGATTACAGGCATTGGCTACCCCACCAGGTTTCAGGTCACTTTTAAGTATGAATTTTGTCTTCCTGACTCTGAAAGTGGATGCTGACTTGTTTGCTTGGTCCCATTGGCTGTGCCTTTCTTGATCAGAGAGCCTGGCCAGCATCTTCCCTGAAGGCTCGGACTGTTTACAGGAAGTCCTTCCTTCCATGTTGTTCTGAAGTACTTGGGACTCTGGCTTTTCTTCTGCCATGGCCTTTGGCTATCCATAGTGAGAGTGCAAGGGGTCATGGGCAGGTTCATCTTTCTGGTTTGTTAATGATGTCACTTCTCTGCCCACAGGAACATCATTCATGGCAGTGATTCTGTGAAGAGTGCAGAAAAGGAGATCAGCTTGTGGTTTCAGCCTGAGGAGCTGGTGGATTACAAGAGCTGTGCGCAGGACTGGATCTATGAGTGACAGGAGGACCCTGCTTTTCTACCTGCTTACTCTTGTTCTCACAGGCAGGGGACCAGCACCTCTGGAACTTCTTTGACCTGAAAGGAACCTCTGGGAGCTGTGACTCCCTGTGCAGTGTTAAATGCCACTGGTAGATTAAAGCATTCATCTGTCCTTTTGTATTGCTGTATCGCTCTGCACTCCTTACCTCCACTAGGCTTCTGGATAACCAGAGTGGACAGAATGCAAATGATACGAAAATTATTTTTATTGGCCTCACATGCACACAGATTGTTTTCATTGTCTTTGTGGGTTGAGCCACTGCCCTGGGACACACAGGCATTTCTTTGTCCATCTCCTTTCCCTTCGCCTGCATCCTGTTCACTCCAGACAGCAAGTTCTGTGGAAGACGTGTGAGGTTGTTAAAACTGTTCTGGGAACAGAGAATTCATCAGAAATAAAGATGCCAACCAAGCTTGTTGGCCCAGACCTGTAATTCCAACACTCAGGAGACAGAGGCAGGAGGATTATGGGTTCCAGGCCAGTCTGGACTACATAGTGAAACCTTGTTAAAACAAATCAGAACAGCTGGATGTAATGGGGCACAGCTTTTAATCCCAGCACTTGGGAGGCAGAGGCAGGGGGATTTCTGAGTTCGAGGCCAGCCTGGTCTACAGAGTGAGTTCCAGGACAGCCAGGGCTACACAGAGAAACCCTGTCTTGAAAAACCAAAAAAAAGGGCTGGAGAGATGGCTCAGCGGTTAAGAGCACTGACTGCTCTTCCAGAGGTCCTGAGTTCAAATCCCAGCAACCACATGGTGGCTCACAACCATCCATAATGAGATTCGATGCCCTCTTCTGGTGTGTCTGAAGTCAGCTACAATGTACTCATAAATAAAAATAAATAAATCTTTAAAAAAAAAAAAGAAAAACCAAAAAAAAAAAAAAAAGAAAAAGAAAAAAAGAAAAAGTTCAAAGGTGTCCTGAGCTTTATAGTTTGAGATCAGCCTGAGCTATACAAGAACTTGTCTTACAAAAAAAAAAAAAAAAAAGAGCTGGGTAGTGGTGGCTCATGTCTTTATTTCTAGCACTCAGAAGAGAAGGCAGGGGTAGGTAGTTCTCTGAGTTTGAGGCCAGTCTGGTCTACAGAGTGAATTCCAAGACAACCAGGGAAAGACAAAGAAACCCTGTCTTGAAAAACAAAACAAACAAAAAAAAGCATGAGAAGTTGCAGCTACTGTCAGATCAGGAAATCTGTGTCTTCTGTAGCTCTGGGACCCTCAGCTGGTATCAAATGAAAGGTCCTACTGTAGGGTAGGGAGTTAAGTGACCTGTTAAAGGAGTAAATGACTCTTAACTGGACAGAGAAGTTCAGTGAAATTTGCAGCCTCTTGGGACAGTTGACATTTGGTAACTTCACAGGAGAGTGTAGCTGCACATGCATGCACTCCTAGCATTTAGGAGGAAGAGACAGGCTTGCCGAAAGCTTGAGGCCAGACTGGTGTAGTCTATCCAGGGCTATGCAGTGAGATCATCTCAAAAGACAACCACCCAGCTAGCCGGGCAAATGAGAGCTGGTGCCTCAGATTGAGAATGAAGGAAACGGTTCCAGAGTGAAGGCAAATGGCAGTCGTCGCCAGTGCATCCTAGGCTGATGCTCTGTTAATTGAGGTTTAGGACAGTGGAGTGGTATGATGGGCTGTCACCCACCTGAGTAGTTCTAGGGGATCAATTGGGCTGGAGCCACAATGGCAATAACCTGACCTCATCCCATCTCGGGTCCTGAGAGGTTCTGTATTGGTGTCATAGAGAACACAGAGAGAGCTTGCCAGTCTCTTCAGAGACGAAGGGAACTGTCAAAAGCAGGGTATATCCTCCTGATGAGACCAGAGCTAGAGTCACTTGAAATCATAGTGATCGTTGGGAATGGGGGGTGGAGGGGAAGGAAAATAAATGTAGGCCCAAGTGCCCAGTGTAAAGCCTGTACGAGGGAACTTTGAGAGTTCAATTGCTCATCCTAATAGTCAGAGAGGCTGTCTCGTCTAAGCAGGTCTTTAGCCAGGGCTGATGGAATGGAGTTGGAGGAGGTTTTAGGCATTTTGACTCATCTGGGCAAGTCTCAGAGCTTTGGGCAACACCTTAAACCTTTGGGCAACACCTTGGCAAACCTGAGCCTGGGATGTTCAGGGCCCCAGCTCAAGCTCTAAGCCTGCTGGGAGAAGTAGCAGCTGGTTCACAGAAGTGCTCAAGGCACTGCAATTTTGCTGGGAGGTTGGGGATGGAGGGGAAGGGTGGTCTGGACACAGAAATGAAGCAGATGTGGGCACTGGGGGAAACTTTGGGGTTACTGGTGGCTTGCCAAGAAGACAGGAGGTAAAGGCTGTTTGCAAGTTGATAGCCCTGGCTTCTGAGAATACAGAATCTGGAGTACTGGAGGCTGGACCAAGGCCTTGTGCTACACAAGTGGACCTACCACAGAGCTCAGTCTCCAATTCTCCCTACCCTTAAGTAGTCGAGGATGGTCTTCACTTCCAGCGTAGCTAAGGATGTACCACCATATCCAGTTTATGGTCAAATCCACTCCAGCCCCTCTCATTGTATATATTTCTTAAAGATTTATTTTTTATTATATTATGTGTAGGTGTGTGTGTTGTATGTATGTGGGTATGCGCACATAAAGGCATGTCTTCGGAGATGAGAGGCATCAGATCCCCTGGACCTGGATTTACAGTTGTGAGTCACCTGAAGTGTGTGGTTGCTGAAAATTGAACTCTAGCCTCTGGAAGAGCAGCAAGTGCTCTTAACTGAAAGCTAGCTCCCCAACACCTCATTTTGTATATTTTGAGACAGACCAGGCTGACTTTGAACTGTAGCAGTGGCTGTCCTTTCCTGATCCTCCTGCCTCCTCCTCCCAAAGGCCTGCATTACAGGCATGTGTCATCTTACACATCTGGCTCTGCTTCTTATTTTGAGATAGCCTCATGTACAAAGTTGACCAGGCTGGCCTTGAATTTCCTCTGAAGTCTAGGCAGGCCGTCAACTTCTACAAAATCTAGAATCTTGCCAGGGGAGTCTCAGGTTGGTAGCCTGACACCCGGTAGTGCTCCGTGGCAGGAATCCCAGTCTCCGGGTGGCAACAGAGAGCCTCTGGAGGCTGGATAGGTAGGCGAGGATACAGACAGCAGGGAGCTGGCCCTAGCATCAAAAGGCATGCGTTATCTTAGGAATTCGAAAGTCATTTGAAGACTGACTTGGCTCCTAGAAAGTCGTCATTTTGGATGAAAAAGTCTAAGAGTTCAAGCAGAGAGAAAGGAACTGAGGGCTGAATTTTAGAGATAGGAAAGACTCGGGGTACCCCAGAGCAGGGAGAGTCCAGCTGGGCGAGGATATCCCAGGGAAGGGTGAATGCAGATGTCTCCTGGAATAAAGAATTCAGGACCGGATCTCGGATGTTGAAGCCTGTAGCAGCAAATAGCAAGCGGACTTGGGTGGGGAACAAATCACTTCCTCCTGCCTCGCGCCCTCCCTAGCCCTGCAAGGAGAGGGCGTGCACCGCGAGCCTTTGGGCGGGGACAGAGATGACTGGCAAGATCAGGCAGGCTGAGCGTCCCGGGTTGGGCAGCGGGGTCCTCCGGGGTGTGGCGTCTCTCATCCCGCCCAGCGCCCCTCCTCTTCCCGCGCCGGCCGGTGGTCGTTCTAGTCTCTTTGCTTCTGTCGCTCATCGCAGACACCAGCCGACCCACCGGCTTTCGGTAAGGTTAAGATGCACTCCTCGCCCCAACGTAAGCCCACCTCAGGCTCCCGCGGTCCCCTTTCTGCGCCTCCTGGGTGGGCAGAAAGTATCTGGAAAGCCACGTGTCCTCCGCAGAAGCGGCGGCGGCAGGTACCCACGTGGCTTCCTGGGCCGGCTTGGGTCCACCAGGCCTCATCGACTACACTTCTTGCCTCCGCAGGACCATGGCCAACCTCGAGCGTACCTTCATTGCCATCAAGCCAGATGGCGTGCAGCGCGGCCTGGTGGGCGAGATCATCAAGCGATTCGAGCAGAAGGGGTTCCGCCTGGTGGCCATGAAGTTCCTTCGGGTAACAACGCCCTTTGCCCCCTACCCCTTTGCTGCTGGGTTGCGGGAGTTTGGTTCTCTCGCCAGTAGTTTGTCCACGTCGCCTTTTGGAGTCAGAGTCAGGCCTCCTGGCTGATTTCACTCCCACGAGAATCCTTTTGACCTCCGCCCCTCACCAGACGTTGGTGGCCCGCTGGCCCTTTCCCAGGCCGGGGAGGACAGACGCCCTTGGGAAGGTTAAATGGAGGTAACATGACTGTTGTCGGTGCCCAGGCCTGGCTTCCCTCCTGCTGTGCGTCCTGGTCCTGTCCAGGTCCTGCCTGTCTTGTAAAAGGCCTCCAGTCTGTGTGTCTTGTGGGGCAACAAGGAGTGGAGAGGGCCTGGAACTCACCCTGTACAATCGGTGGGGTCTTGCAATTCTTTTGTGCTTTAGCCGAAACTTGAGACCACCGAGGCTGCAGCTCTCCTTGGCATAGGATAGTAACTATTTTCCGTGTTATGTGACCACCAGCTGAAGATGTAGTTCACGAGGTCTAGAGTCGGGTCCCCAGTCCCTTAGGAACAGTAGGGTATGGTGGCACATGCTCCAATCTCAGCACATTGAGGGTGGAGATTACAAAATCTGGGTCACCCTTGGCGACACCTGGAGTTTAAGGCCAGGCCTGGACTCCATGAGACCCAGTCTAAAAAAACCAAGGTTACTTTTAAAGTTTAAATAGCTACTGAAATACAACAAAGGCCATCAGTTTTGTTCTTGGGGCTGGAGTAGAAGGCTCTGTGGTGAAAAGCACTTTGGTCTAACACAGGATGGGTTCAGTTCTTGTTACTCACAGGATAGCTCAGAATGGAAACTCCAGTCTTAGGGGATCCGACACCCTCTTCTGGCCTCTGAGCTCGAGGCATACACAGGATGCACAGATATGCATGCTGGCCAAACACCCATACACGCAATTACTTTAAAACAAGAAAAAGCAGGGCATAGTGACTTACACCTTTAATCCCAGCGGAGACAGAGGCAGGCAAATCTCTGAGTTTGAGACTAGCTTGGTCTACAGAGTGAATTCCAGGCCCACTATGGCCATACAGACTTTGTCTCAAAGATAAAACAGAAAAAGATGTCCTTGGGGTTGGAGAGAGGGCTCAGCATTTGAGTACTTATTGTTGAGGCTAGGCGTTCGGTTCCCAGCACTGTGTGGTGGTTCACAACTATCTCTGATTTCAGTTCCAGGGAATCCACTATCTTCTGGCCTCGGGGCACCAGGCACAAATGCAGGCAAATCAGTCATACACATAAATCTTTTTTTTTGTTTTTGTTTTTTCGAGTCAGGGTTTCTCTGTAGTCCTGGCTGTCCTGGAACTCACTCTATAGACCAGGCTGGCCTCAAACTCAGAAATCCCCCTGCCTCTGCCTCCCAAGTGCTGGAATTAAAGGCGTGCACCACCACTGCCCGGCCTATACACATAAATCTTAAAAGTTTGTTGTCTGAAATGTTTAAAAGGTTCAGTTGACCAGGGGAACCTGAGGTTACTGGCACTTTCAGCCAACATTTCCCTTTCCAAATCTTGCTTCAAACCACTTCCGTAGTGTTTAATCTTTAACATTACTATGTAAGAGTCTTATTTATTTTGGTGTTTCTAGACTGGGTTTCTCTATAGCCCTGGCTGTCTTGGAAGCTGCTCTATAGACCAGGCTATCCTCGAAATCAGATCCACCTGCCTCTGCCTCCCAAGTGCTGGGATCAAAGGTGTGTGCCACCAATGTCTTATTTTTTAAGACAAGGTCTCTATCTCAGGCTTGCCTTGAACCTGGGGTTCTCCCTGCCTTTGTCTCCCAAGTGCTGGGATTGTAAGCATGAGCGAGCCATCATGCTCAGCTCATTCCGTAAACTCTTGCAGTTTTTGTCTTGTGCATGGTGTGTTTGTGTGTTTATGTGCTGGTCCTACTATCTTTGAGATAGTCTTGTGGTCACTGCTGCATTCATACTCCAGGCCAGCTGGCCAGTGAGTCTCTAGGGTCTTGTCTTTACCTTTCATCTCTGAGTGGGAAGTTCTGGGGATTTAGGTCTGCATGCCTGTACTTGATCCTCACATGCTTCCTGCATGGAGTCATCCTCCTCTTAAACCTGGTGCTGGAGACTGAACACAAGGCCTTTCACACATTAGGCATGCACTTGACCATGGAATTATATTCTCAGCTTAAGTTGTCTTTATGATCACTATAGGGGTTTTTTTTTTTTTTTTTCCTGCCACAATAGTGTTGGTTTCATGGTATGGATCCTTGTAAATTTACTTAAATCAAACCTGGAATTCCACCCTCCCCTCCCCCCCAAGGTGGGATACAACCATATCTAAGCCTTTCTGGTCTGTTCACTAATAGGATCCTCTCTCTGCCAGGCTTCTGAAGAGCATCTGAAGCAGCATTACATTGACCTGAAAGACCGTCCTTTCTTCCCCGGGCTGGTGAAGTACATGAACTCAGGGCCCGTAGTGGCCATGGTGAGTACTTGTGAAGGACTGAGGGAGTAGGGTATTTTTACTCTGTTCTTTCTCTTTTGGGACTGGCTTTTTCCTTGTGGCTCAGACTGGCCTGGGACTCCAGTCTGTCTACCTCTTTAGTACTGGGGTTATAGACCAGCAGGAGTTAGCCAACTATGTGTTTGGAAAGTGAAAGAAAAGGAAATCAGATTTAAGAGAAGGCTGGGAGTTAGGTTCCTGGCACCCACAAAAGCGGAGTCCCATCACTCCAGCTCCAGGAATCTGACCTCTAGCCTCCGTAGGTGCTAGTACTCTCATGTACATGTGTGTACATACACACACCAGAAAAGAGCTTAAGGCAAATCTCAGTAGGGCTTGTCTGCTTTCAAAGGAGCCCTGACTGTTTTCCATAAGTACTTCTGACCACATTTGTTTCCTAGATTTTAGAGATGCCCAAGTTTTCTGGCCTTGTACTACCACCAGTGCAGTGTCCTGTGGGTGGCTTTGATGTCCCCATGGGAATGATGGCAGAGTAAAGGAAAATTCACTGAAACTGTCACAGAGCACTTCCTGTTCCCAGACTAGTCCTTTAGTTTCTCTTTTCTAATTAACCCTTGCCATCTCTTGCCTTTTCAGGTAGGCTCTTAGGGCCTTTCCACTGTTCCCCCATCTGTCCCCAGACTTTATCCTTTTTTTTTTTTTTTTTGGCGAGTAGTCTTTTCCAAATGTCCTACTTATGAATTTAAAACCTAGGCTCTTGCCCTTGGCAGGGGTTATCTGACTACAGTGCCATACATTGATCTTAAAGATGAATGAATAGGAGTGTTTGTTCTTGCTGGGCAGTGGTGGCGCTAATCCCAGGACTTGGGAAGCAGAGGCAGGTGGATTTCTGAGTTCGAGGCCAGCCTGGTCTATCTACAGAGTGAGTTCCAGGACAGCCAGGGCTACACAAAGAAACCCTGTCTCGAAAAACCAAAAAAAAAAAAAAAAAAAAAAAAAAAGAAAAAAAAAAGGAGTGTTTGTTCTTAATGGTTCTGTCTCAGTAATTGTCTTTTGTCTGGTTAAGGTCTGGGAGGGGCTCAATGTTGTGAAAACAGGCCGAGTGATGCTGGGAGAGACCAATCCAGCGGATTCTAAACCAGGCACCATTCGGGGGGATTTCTGCATTCAAGTTGGCAGGTAAGGGTGTGTGTGTGTGTGTGTGTGTGTGTGTGTGTGTGTGTGTGTAAAATAATGAACTTTTAACTCTTAAGTGGAGTGTATAACACTTTGGGCATATCCCAAAGTTTTGGAAAACCTGAATATAAGAATGATTGCTTGAAAACTGTAATTGAGACACTGCAGAGAACTGCCTGTGATGCTTCCTGTGTGGGAAACAAAGGGTTTAACCTCATCCAATTTGTTACTGGATGTATGGGTATGACACCTAACCCTTTGATTCCCTTAGCCCAGCTGTAATTTGTACTCAAACTTTGTAGATTCCAATGGAATAAAGGGATTGTTCCTAATAAGCATGGATGGTATGGTTTGATTTGTAAATCATTTCTAAGAAAATGCAGGCCTGGTGGCCCACACCTTTACTCCCAGCTTTGGAGAGCCAGAGGCAGGTGAGTTCTGGGACAGCCAGAGTAAGACTGGTCTTGAAGAACTAAAGAAACAACAAAACTCCCAAAAAACTCTTAGTGTGCTGGTATACACCTTAATCCCAGCACATTCCAGGGACCTCTGAATTTGAGGCTAGCCTGGTCTACAGAGGGAGTTTCAGGACACTCAGGGTTACACAAAGGAAACTTGTCTCCAAAAGAGACACACCTCCTCCAAAACCCAAACCAACCAGATAAGGAGGTGGGGGGTAGGATGGCCAGAAAGTTCAAGGTCAGTTTTATCAGTATAGGAAATTTGAGATTAGCCCTCCACACTTCCCAAAGCAGCAGGACCGGCTCTAAACTGGCATTTGGAGGCTTGTCCACTTCTGGTTTTTTTTTTTTTTAATCTTTTTTTTTCCCTTTTTTCATTTTCCAGCAGTAGCAGTCTTAGGTTATAAATACTAAACTCTTTTTAATTTGAGCACCTTTATAACTTTGTACTTTTTTTGGTATTCTTTTTTTTGGGGGGGGAGGGTTGAAGACAGGGTTTCTCTGTGTAGTCCTGGCTATCCTGGAACTCACTCTGTAGACCAGGCTGGCCTCGAACTCAGAAATCCGCCTGCCTCTGCCTCCCAAGTGCTGGGATCAAAGGCGTGCGCTACCACCGCCTGGCCACTTTTTTGGTATTCTTCAAAGTTTTTTTCCTAGTGTTTTGCTTGCATGTATGATGTGTGCCCAGTCTGCAGAGGTCAGAAGAGGTTATCGGATGCTCTGCAACTGAGGGTATACATGGTTGTGAGCTACCAAACTTGGGTCCTCTGCAAGAGGAACGAGTGCTCTTAACTGTTGAGCAGTTTCTCCAGTCCTATCCTAATGGATTTTAGTTAAATGTTTTACGATTTGCCTTACTGAAGATTCAATGTAGGGCCTCATTATAGTCCAAGCAAGCATTCTAGTATAGTGCTACGGTCAGTTTTGGTTTACTTGAGGTGTGGGGGGAAGGTAATTATTTAGTGTTAGGTGAAAAGGTCTGCAGTGTCTGCTCCATGTTATTATCTAGTGAATGAACTCTGGCGCTTGAAAACACCGTAACAAATGAGCTATCTATCTTAGGAACATCATTCATGGTAGCGATTCAGTGGAGAGTGCTGAGAAAGAGATCCGTCTATGGTTTAAGCCGGAAGAACTGATTGACTACAAGTCTTGTGCCCATGACTGGGTGTATGAGTAGACGTGGAGGAACCAGTCCTTTTCAGCACTACTGATGGGTTCCTGGACACAGCTCTTTCTCCCACTGACTGGATGGATCTTTTCTAAAACAATAAAGACTCTGGAATTGGGTGTGCAGTGTCCTGTGCTCATTTGCTAGAACTAAATGAAGTCGTTTTGTTCTGAGGCTATGACGGCATTAAATGAAGTAGTTCTATTTACTGTGAAGAATCAGTCTGGATCTTCTCAGAAACCAGAGTGTTACACTAGCTGTTTAGGGAAATAAGCATCTCTAATTACACTAGTTAACAGAGGAATGTGTATTTCTGCAAGATGTGTGTGTGTGAAAACTTAGTGAAGTAGGCCAGATTATGTCTTTGTTGATTAGGAGAAAGTCTAAGGACAAAGGCAAAAGGATACTGTTGGAATGAAGGGTTAAAGGAACTCCTGGCATGAAACTTGTACTCAGGTATTCCTGTAGCCTTATTCCCTCCCTCAGGTGGCATGTACTGGAGTGTTTTGCTTGCATGCACATGTGGGTCTAGTATGCAGTGGTCAGAAGTGGTGCCTGATTACCTGGGACTGGATTTATGGATGTTAGCTGCAATGTGAGTGCTGGGTACCGAACCTGGGTCTTTTGCAAAAGCAGCTAGTGCACTCAGTCACCAACCATCTTTTCCCTTAACACATTCCCCTGCGGTAGAATTGTGTACATTGGTGTGGGTGGTCTCAAGCTGCAGACACTGGTGGTTGAGACCTGCCGACTTTGGGACCTCTGGAAGAACAGTATGTGCTCTTAACTGATAAACCACCACTCCAGCCTTCTGGGGTGAGAGACTATTTTTCTAGGCTCATCACCAGCCTGGGCTATTTATTAGACTGCCTCCCCCCCACCCCCCACCTTTGAGACAGGGTTTCTTTGTGCTTAGTTAGCCCTCGTCCTGGAACTTGCTTTGTAGGTCAGGCTAGCCTCAAACTCAGAAGGATCCACTTTCCTCTGCCTCCCAAGTGCTGGAATTAAAGATGTGTACCAACCAACCCTGGAAAAGTAGATTGTTTAGCCTCATTGCTCACAAGCTTGGGTTATTTGGTATGCTGTTTTGAGAGGAGTTACACTTTTAGGGCTAATCTTCCTAGATTGACACAGCTGTCACTTTTCTTGGAGCCTGACACAAGCAGGACTTGTGGACTATTTAGAAATTGAGAAAGCCTAGGCTTGGTGGCTCACAACTGTAGTCTTGAACTCGGGAGGCTGAGGGAGGAGGGTTTTGTTGAGACCAACCTGGGCTACCTGAGATCTTCAAACAAAAGCTGATGAAAACTGTCAACCTAAGAAAAAATTTAATGCACATATGTGCTTTGTCTAAAGGACACCAAACAGGGCATCGAATCCTGGATCCTTTTACATTGTGAACTGCAGCATGTGTGGTGCTGGGATCTGGATCCTGGCCTTTAGTTGGAACCTCTTACTACTGAGCCATCTCTCTAGCCCCCAATATTCTTTGTATGTGTTGCTATATTGAAAAACTGACAATGATGTAACCAACACATGATCTTGTCTCTTGCCTGTCTGTGCATAGTTCTAAACACTACTAGTTTAGTTCCTTTGATGAAAAGTCTTTGTATGCTGAAAGGAGTGAGAGTGGAGCCCCTGGTCCTCCTAAAAGGGGGAGGGGAACACAAACTAAAGAATGAATGTGACCAATCATGTCTAGGTAATGACATTCTGAGAAAGCCCAAAGGATAGGGTTTGGTGGCCATCCATATTATTTCTGCCTACATGTTTTACCTTGTATCTTCAAATCTCTCTACAGTTCCAGACCCTTTATTGTGTGAAGGCACACATATGCCCCATCTTGAACGTGAAGGAGCCATAGGGCAGCTTTCAGAACGGGTTCTCTCCTTTCACTGTGTGGGTGGGTCCTGGAGATCAAACTCAATTACTAGGCTAGGCGGCAAGTGCTAAGCCATCTTCCGGGGACCCCTCACCCTAACCCTGACCCACTTTCCTTTTTTAAGAGGCAGAGTCTCACTAAATTGCCCATTCTAGAGTTCTGAAGCTTTGTTTGAGGTCTAATGCTACTTTCCAGGTGAAGCTGCCAGTTAACCTCCTCTCTATCAAAACTGACCTCATTTAGAAGACGCCCGGCTGATGTCTACTGGAGTTCTGCTAGGTGTGGGGACAAACTCCACACATCTAGAATTAAGTGTTCAATTGGAGCTGGGGACGTAGCTCTGCTAAAGTACTTGCCTGCTGTTCCAAGCCCTGGGTTGGATTTCCAGCACTTGACATAAACAGTCACCCACTGGACATGGACCCTAAAGCACAATGTTCTAGACAAAGTCACTTTCTCCACAAATGGCACATACTTATCTTTGCTTCTGCTCTGTGTTGTGGGGCCCTATTTCTGTCTAGCCATAAACTCTAGGCTCAAATGCTCATTCACCTGTACCCTCTTGTTCCCTGCCAGACAGTACTAAGACCCTTCTCATGTGTTCACTCTTGCTTTACTTTGTATTGTGACTATTCTTTGAGCAGAGAAACTGTCAGCTTGGGGAGTTCAGCTGTGCCCCCTTGCAAAATAATTCCTCCAGACCTAGTACTGATTATTTATACAGACTCCTGGAGGGGTGAGAAGGTCCTGAGTACCCAGCCGCTGTCTACTGCCTGTTATACAACTGTCTTAATTGCATGTGGGAGAGGCATAGGGTAAGATTGACTAGTTCAATCCTAATCCCACAGTGAATGAAAAGTTGTACTTTGAATTACACAGACACACACACTCTTATACAATGACAACCTGAGTTCTACTCCAGGACCCACTCGTGGAATAAGACTGATGTCTGCCAGTTAACCTCCATATGTGTGCCGTGGGATATCCACCTACGTTACCTAGTAAAATAAATATTGAAAAATTGATAAAATAAAGCTTAACTTTAACATTTTATTTTGTGTAAAAAAAGGGCAAATTTAGTGAATTATTTTCATCTTGTACACAAAGTTATAATTTTAATGCTTTTCACATCCATGCTGAAAATTTGCATTTTGGTAAAAATGAAAGGAACATAAATTTCTCTGAAGGAATTTTTCACGCCATTATATACATTCCATGAGGAAGCTTCAAACACTTCCTCAATAATCACAAGTTACCAGAAAATAAAAGATTAAATTTGTCCAGATATTGATCTATATATCAAATGCACACAGAAACGATGTAAAAACCTCATGTACTTTACTTTGGCCTCTGTCCTTGAAAGGTTTGCCCAGGGACAGATGCTTTTTTTTTTGTATAAATGACTGTGGCTTTATTTAAAATATGAAAATCAAAGGAAGATACCCAGTTTAATCACAGTATTTTTAAAATCCCTCCCCAATATTAAAGGATCATTACCAAATATATAGCACCATAATACAAATATTGATGGGTGAGGGTATTCACATCACACAAAATTAATTAATAATAAAAACAAACAAACACTGAAAACCCGTGTTAGTATCCGCAGAATAAGAAGTTGATAACAGCTTTAGCTTTCCTCATACACTGCAAGGAAAAAGGTTAAAACGATCAAACTACTAAAAGTTCCCAGGCTTCTAACAGGAAAACAAAAACAAACCCAAGGTCAGCAGTACATGTTGAACTGTGAAAGAGGACAGGCTACTGAGTTGCACGACGACAGGAATTATGGCTACGATGGAAGCCTCCTCTGGTTAACGGGTCTGTGTTAGCAGCAGGAGTGAGAGTGAGGGTCTTAACAAAGAGGGCTTCGGGTTCTGTTTGGACTCTAGCAAGTCCTCACCAACCCTTCACTGTTAGTGAACATAAACACTTTATGAATGTAGGCGGGGAATTCTAAACACGCCAAGCCTGGTTTTGGTGTAGAATTGGAAGCTTGTAAAACCTGGCTACGGATGAGCATTTCACAGAACTGATTACCAGGACTGGCTGGCTTGGAACCACATCCTTCCTGGCTTATAGTTAGTCCCCTGGAGGGCTCCTCACCCAAGGAATGAGAGCACCCCATACAACAGGCTTCTTGCACTGGTACCATGGAAACACAGTCCTGGATTTCATCCGCTGAGCCTGAGAATAAAGACTGCTATGACCTTTGCTTTGGACCTCTTCTAGGCTTTAAGCTTCTGGGAAGATCCTTCAAAGTCAAAGATTTGGGAAGTGTGAGGATGTCGTCACATTTACAGTAGGTCCCTCTCAGCACTGTTGTTTAAGATAAATATCCAGTAATTTTACAGCTGAATTCACATATATTTGACACAAGAATCAACTTGCATTGATGTGATCTGCATTTAGCCCCCAGAGTCAGTATTAAAAATGGTGACATGCGATTCCATACATTTTTACACTAAAAAGTAACACATTTTACTTCCAGTAGCTACTACAAACCTTATGTTATTAACCCCTCTTGCATAGAATGAGGTAAACCTGTGCATATTACCAATGCTATTATTCCCAAAAGTAGAGCAATATTTTAGAAAATAAATTGCTGGTTTTTAATGTTCTATGCATTTAAAAGTCAAACAAAAATCTTACCTAAAATGTCTCCTGGGGTTTTCCTTTAGCATTTTTCTTTCTTTCTTTTTTTTTTTTTTTAAAGCATTCCATAGGCTGAAGGGCTGCAGAGGTTAATCATTTTGATTACTTTCTCATTAGCCCTGCCTATTTTCCAGAGGAAATGGGCAGTATTACCACTCTGAAGAGGCCAGGCTCAGACCCAGAAGCACTTCTAGAACAGATGCAATGAATTCCTGAGAGTTTAGTTTATGAACCTCACTGGTAAATGCTAGAGCTCTCTGATTCAGTCACAATCTGGTAGAAAGTTAGACTATGCAGAGAGCAAACTTGTCACCAATTTACCCTTTCATCCTACTTCTTAAAGGAAGCCGTATGAATTTTAAAATAGGGAATGTTTAAAATGGTCCAAATCAGTTACTGTTACAATTTTCTGACTACAATTAAAGACAATTCATAATATGTGTGTGTATATGGAATTTTAAGAAAATTTTCTTTCAAATCAGTTTCTAACAAATCCAAGACAGTTAAGAGTAGAGCTGGAATGATTCTGAAATCTACACTCACTTTGGTTAACAACTGTTTCTTCTGATTCTTTTGGTAATACAGAACAGTATCTGCTTTTGGGTGTGGTTACATCGAGTTGCTCTCTCATGGATGGCGGAGGTCTGATAAGAATATCCCTTTTGTGGGATGTTTTCTAGCAAGGAAAACAGAATAAACTTAGGAAAATACTAATTTCCCCTAACCCTTTATGTAGACTGAGATCCTGTGTATTTTGTCAACCATTCCAGTTTAACACTTTAGTGTTAGAAAGTTTTAATCATTTTTACGTGGAGAGCATATAAAAGTATCCAGAGTTCTCCTAGTTTCATATACAACTCCAAATAAATTTTAGCAGAATGAAAAAATTTCTGTACAAATAGTTAAACGGGCTGCAATAAAATGTCAGCGAGCACAATTAATGACCCCTTCCGTGATCTACATGGTGATGAGCCCTCTGTGAGGGGTTCAGTTGCATATTTTCGCAGCAAGGGAAGCTGGAGATGTGACTGGCCTAACTCTAAAATCCAAAAATCTCCCAACAGGTACCAAGAAGGTTCATTTGTAATGACAGTTCATTTGCATTTACAACTATATCCTTCTTAATCATTTCCTTCAATCCTGCTACCTAAACTTTTATCTTACCAAAAAAGTTATAATTTCAGTTCTTGTTAACAATGCACATAAATCCAAACTTGGAAAATATTACAAAATTCTTTCAAAAGCTTCAAATACAACACAAAAATTGTCTGTCTTTATAAATTGAAAAATTGCCCCCCCCACCAAAATAGTTTCCCCCCCAACCTGAAAAATCTGGAACTGAACTTTTCTGTGTTTAGCAAAATGTCCCAGTAGAATAGCCTGCTGTGCAGCAGACTGACTACAAATCAGTCCTGTAAACAGCCCCTTCCACCCATAGTTTCTGAGTTGCCTCATGGCTCTTGTTTGATGTAGACGGTGGCAGAGCCATTGCTCTCTTGGTCAGACGCTCCTTGAAGGAAGCTATACTCTTCTCCATCCAGCAGTTCCTCCTTTAGCTGGGATGTAGTCACTGCATGAGACAGACAGAAATGCACGCTGTTACCAAGTCTTCTGGAACGCACTGGCTGTTCATCTTCATGTTTTATCAACTTTACAGCTAAGACACCGTCATTTCTTCAGTACCTATAAAGATGAAACCAATGGAAGGCTGGGTGGAACTCAAGGGTAGAATGCTTGCCTAGCACAAGTGAGGTGGCAGACCCCAGCACTGTAAGACAGACGACAATGGTAATAACAGAGGCCTGAAAAATGAACTTTTCTGGTGTGTACAGTTCTAGGGCCTTGCATAAGTTAGGCACATATTTTACTACTAGGCTACACCCCTCAATCCCAATTTCAATTTTTAAAGTATACTGTTCATTGTGGAATGGCTTAGAAAAGGAACAAAGCTGCACACTGCAGAGTGAATGATCTCCAATGGAATGCTCAAGGAACAGTGTTCAACAATTCCACTAAAATAACTGGAATTTTTCTTGGGATTAAATATTCACTTTTATGTCAATGCCTATAGAAATGAACGTATTTCTTATACATTTTGAGGTGTAATATTCAACCTGACAGACTCTGCCTATTTGGCCCAATATGGCCTTGAATTTGTGATCTTCCTAATCCTACATCCAGAGGGCTGGGATTGTAGCGTATATATAGCTACTCCATAGTATATATATGTTGTGTGTGTGAGTGTACACACACATACACTCACACGTAGTTTAGTACTATCTATGGTTTGAGGCATCCAAGGTAGGGTTTGAAACATACATTTGGAAGAATGTTTTAGAATATATACTTTCATGAAGGAAGACTGCATGTGAAATATAAAACTAATTGTACCCCAAATTCCTGAAATAATTACTTTATTTCCTTCTTTTCCTCTGCCCCTCCTTCACTCCTTGTGCTGGAATTGGATCCTAGGCCTTGGGCACACTAGGTAAATACTCTACCCCATGAGCTATGAGCTCTCACTCCCAGCACCACTTTCAAATTCTTAGACAGGATCTTTACTAGGCTCCCCAAACTGGCAAATTTTCCATCTTCCTGTCTAGCCTCACAAGTGCTAAGAGTGGGAAACCATCATGGCCAGCATTATTATTTATTTTTTTATGGTGTTGGGGACTGAATTTAGTTTTGCTTATGCTAAGTCAGCACTCTACTGCTGGGCTACACTTCCAGCCCCTGTACACTGATTTTAGTTACGAAATTTTCTTCAAAAATTACTGACTCCTGTCCCAATCCAAGCATGTTAGCTCATACCTATAGTCCCAGCATTCTAGAGGCTGAAGTAAGAGGATTTTGAGGCCAGCACAGACTATATACTACATAGTAAGATTAACAAATACACAACAAATCCAGCCGTAGGATATCTTTTATTATTTTTATCTATTCATCTGTATTTTGGAGACTGGGTCTCACTTTGTAGCTCTGGTTGGTCTGGAACTTGTTATTTAGATAGACTAAGCTAGCCTTGAACTCAAAAATATCTGACTTCTGAATATTCAGCTAGCACTTCTGACACCTTATTTACAAATTTTAATGAATAATCTTTTGAGAGATGGCAATTCATCTTACTTTGGTTCCTGTTTTGACACTGATGTTGAAAAACTCAATAGCCCATAGACAAAAAAGTGAATATCCTATGAATAACAAGAGCAGAAGAAACAACATACTGTTCAAAGGCAAAGCACATGCAAACTGTATATAGTTCTTCCTTTGCTTAACAAACAGTAGCAAATATGCGTATAGGTATCCTCTGATCTAACCAACATGCAGTAAGTATTAGGGACATTTTAGCACTATCACAAGGATAAACATGGAAACAAAACCCACATTTTATTAAAGGTGCAGTACCCACAATAAAAGGTTGAACGTTATCTTGTTCTATGATGATTAGATGGCTAAATGAATGGGAAGTACCATGTTTCAAGATCAAAGACGTTTCACTCAACTGGATGTGTTTTTGTGTAAGAAAGATAACCTGAGGTTCTAAAGCACATTCTAAAGCTGCATCCATTTGTGCTCAAAACAAGTATCTTGAGAAGAGTCATGTTAACATATGGGAATGATGTACGTAAAAATCACTCAAGATAAAGGTGAAACATTCACTCAGGTATGGAATGTTTTAATGTAAACTTTCAGTTTCCATAGAAACTAAAATAAAGCCTGTCTGCTAGCATCCCTCTTTTCTAGTCTTTAATCTCAAACAATGACGGATGAATGCAATAGATCAAGCGGCTCAATGTCACATTCTACACCAAAGCACTTTCTAAGCTCTGCTTTTAAAATCAATCACTTAAATGACACTAATCATGAAAATTTCACAAGAGAAGCAAATGGAAGTGACATCTTTGCAGGTGTAAAATCAACAATAATAAATCTGCCAGACATCCAGTCAACAGCAGCTTTGAGGCATGAAGGCAGCAGTGCAGGCCCCACAGTGCTTCACTAAGCAGCTCATACTACAGCCCACAAGACACACCCCAGCTCAGAAGACATGACAGGCACTAGAGGAATGAGGAATCAGAAACCAGGAGGTTTTCCGTCTAGCATCTCACAAGATTAGTTCAGTTTTATATGAATCAGAACCTCAAACAGAAATTTAAAAAGTAAGGATATTCATATTTAATCATGTCAAATACTATTTCAGAAACAGTATGTATACAAAGAAAAACTTAACAATTACTCTGGAATGCTCTTAGTCCTTAGAGGTTGACACACTAAAAGAGTAGCTAACACTGTTGGCTTTGTTGAGACAGAGTCTCTCAGAAGGATGCTTGAATTCCCAGTCTTCCTGCTGGGGTGTACAGGTCTCATCACCATGCCTGACCACAGCAGATGAAATTTGGGATTTGTAATCCTACTCTGCCTTTCATAGGAAATGGAACATGGAAATTTCCCCTTGATGTATGGTTATCAGAATAATCATCAAAAATGGACTGGTGGAAAGCTCAAGATGACACACTCATTATCAGAGCTGTGAGAGGTAGAAGCACATCTTAACTGTAAGTTAAAAAAAGGGCTGATAATGTTAGGTACAAATATCCCGGTGAACAGTAAACAGGGAACAACAAAGTCCTAAATTCCATTTAAGTTTTTAAACTACAAAGCCATTTAGGAGATGCTGATCAGCTAGAACAAATCAGTTGAAAAGCAATCCTTAAACCACGGTAGGATACGTGCTAATCAAACAGGCACTCTGGATTTGAAGCTACAAGATCAGGACTCTCATCTATAGTAAGCTTTGTTCTTAGCAATTACAATGGGGAAAACTTTGAGCAGTTTTCCTTCACTCAGACACACTCGCCTAACTAACTAAACACCAAGAAATATCACTTAATCACCATGCAGACTGAAACATGGAATTATGGAAATAAATTCAATACCATGATATATAAGGAATGCATTTTCAAGTCAGTGATGATGTTCAGCTTAGTTTATGGTAAATGTTACTACTAAAATAAAAATTACTTGAACTCAACACACGTTTTCCATGAATGATCTACTATGGAATGTAATGAACGAAGTCTCACTTTTAGGTCTGGTTATCAGAGGAGTTCTTCAGCGCATCTCTCTCTCCCTCAAGTCCATAGACATATACAATGTAGTATGTTCAATCAGTCTAACCAAAGCATGAAATAACTGGAAGTTGATTCCTAATTCCAAAAACTAAAAACTAAAATGATGGTTTTCACAGATACTCCGTAACAACCAACCCTTTTCTCATGACTCATCTGTGTGAAATGGGTGCCAAGGACCAGTGGAAATGGAGATTTTTAGTTTAAAAAAAAAGAAAAAGAAAAAGAAGGATTTGGATGAGTGGGCACCTGTCCCGCCAGCCCATGCTTGTCTCCCACCACCCTGCCCAGCACCTGACCCTCTATAGTACCTGTGGTGCTGCTGTGACTAGTTACCTGTTTTGAGGCTGGGCCTGAACTCTCGGCTAGTGCTGGGAGGTGGGAAGGCCTCCAGGGCTGTCTGTGCTGGCAGGGTTCGATATGGAGGAGGAGTCAACTCTTCGTCCCCAGAGAAGCTCCTCCGCACCCCACCTGTCATGGGCAGGCTCGACAAACTGACAGGCTTCTTCCCAACTGGCATCTTCCTCTCTAAACATCAAGTCAGACTGAAGTAAGCTTTGACTTAAGTGTGTGGTAAGAAAGTGCATTGTATTACTAGGGAGGCTAGGTTGTATAGGACACTGCAAAGAACTGACTGTTCAAGGATCAACTTCTCCAAATGTGTGTGTGTGTGTGTGCATATGCAAGCACAGCATATGAATATCCTGGGGGCAGGTGGAAGGGAGGTTGCTCTAGTCTCTCAGGCCTGATAATTCTGGTCTTGACTCTCAAGTTTAAAAAGAATGAGGTAAAATAAGCCAGACTGTAGTTATGTAGTTAGGGTAGAGAAATGCTAGGTTGATGTCCTTCAAAAAAACTCAGCTTAAATATGGGGTGAAAAGCCTTTTTTTTTTTTTTTTTTTTTTAGTAGTGCCAGGGACCAGGAGGCTCTCATCCACACTAGGCAAGTGCTATAGTGATCTGTACACCAATCCCAATAGAACATTTCTGAACATGACTTTTAAGACAGCATTTCTCTGGCTATAGAAGCCTAATAATGGCCCTTCAGGGGAGAAATCAAATAAAAATAGCTTCTGGGTGGCACAGTTTCACTGTTCTACAGTGCACTCCTTAAGCTTCTGTCAGCAGTGCACTCAGACAGCATTTGGAATTCTGACCCAGAAATGAACTTCTAAAACTCAAAGCTTATTATGTATTGCTTATAAAGTTCTTAACCTAATATAGTAGGACAAGGTTTCAGGTAGCCCAGGCTGATTTTTTAAAAAAGATTAATTTAGTTTTTATGTATACGAGTGTACTGCTGCTGTCTTCAGACACAGCTAAAGAGGGCATCAGATCCCATACAGATGGTTGTGAGCCACTATGTGGTTGCCGAGGACTGAACTTAGGCTATCTAGAAGAGCAGTCAGTGTTCTTAACTCCTGAGCCATTTGTCCAGCCTCCTGTCCAGGCTAATTTTAAACTCACTACGTAGACAAGGCTGGACTTGAACTCTGTCCACCCTGTCCTCATCTTCCCTAACGCTGGAATCACAAGTGTGTGTGACTATGCTCAGCTTTCTTCATTTGTTTTCAAGACAAGGCCTCACATAGACTAGGCTGCCTTCAAACTCAGTAGGTAGAGGAATGATCTTGAGGTTCTGATCCTCCTGTCTCTACCTCCTATGTGCTAGAACTAAAGGCATATATCACTTTTTATAGTTTTATAAGCAAACATACTCTAGAACTTATAAAATGCTTTTTACCAAACTAAAACATGCTTGAAACTTTGTAAACACTAAACCGCCAAGCATAGTGCAAAAATAAGGGTGCATAGTGAAATATATTCACATATCTTTATAGATATACACTTTTGTTTTCCTCCTAACCCAATAACCAGCTAAACTTCAGATAATCAAAATGAAATACATAAATCTAAGGCAACAGTATTCCCATGTAAAATGAATCTGAAAGCTAAGTGGGTCCACACTCAGCTCGCAATTGCCAGGCTAATGTCATGTGCAGTGATTAGTTAACACGTTCACAAGTAAAATATCAGGCAAAACCACCAAGTCCCATATATATACATATACATATACATATACATATATATATATATATATATATGTACGGGAACTTCAAAGTGGTGAAATCTGAAACTGCTCCAGAATTACTATGGTTTGAGAAAGACATTTTTCTGAGGCTGAACATTTATAAAACCTTCCTGGTCAAACAGTCCTCTTATTTTCCAAGTGTCAGTTAACAACTATCTCTACACAACACAACTACAGCACAACTGGTTCATTGCTCACCATGCTAGACAATCACCTCCCCATCCTGGTGGCTAACAGGACTACCTTAACCACACTAGTACGGAGGAGACAACAGGGCTGAGTACAACACTCTATTGCAACTCAACAGACAAACACCACGTTGTGAAACTCATCTGAAACGGTCAAGTCTGCTGTAATGGAGAACTTAAGATTTTAATTTTCATTTATGTGTATGTGTGTGTCTGTATGTCAATATGCACATACATGTAGGTGTTCTTCAGAGGCAAGAGGCTATTGGACCTACTGGAGCTGAAGTTATGGGTAGTTATGAACCACCCCATGTGGATGCTGGATTCCAACTTGGGTTTTCTTCCAGAGCAGTTAGTAAGTACTCTCGCCAGTTCCCAGACAACTTTTTTTTTGTTTTTTTGTTTTGTTTTTCGAGACAAGGTTTCTTTGTGTAGCCCTGGTTGTCCTAGAACTCATTCTGCAGACCAGGCTGGCTTTGAACTCAGAAATCTGTCTTCCTCTGCCTCCCAAGTGCTGGGATTAAAGGTGTGCGACACCACTGCCCAGCAACTTTGTTTTTTTAAACCCCAAGTTCTTTCACGTTTTAGTAACACGTTTTGTGGGAAGGATTTCTTTATGTGTCTGTCTGTGTATATGTATTCATTAAGAGGTGTGTGTGTGTCCGTCCAGAGGTCCATTTCAGGAGTCAAATACTTGCCGATTAGACAAGGATGGTTAGCTGGCGAGCCATGGGATCTTATTTCTAGCACTGAGATCTCAAGCATATATCAAATTTTTTTTTTTTTTTAATGTAGGTTCTGGGAGCAAATTCTGATCTTCAAGACTGTGACAAGCACTTTACTGAGGAAGCTCCCAGAGCCACTCTGCAGTTCTAATCACCCCTCTGAGATAGACTTTCAACTCTGAAATTTAGCCTGGCCTAGAACTCACTATGCAGCTCAGGCTGGCCTTCAATTTGCAGTAGTCCTCGTGTCCTGTCCCCTGAAGACTGGAACTAAAAGCCTGATCCACCACACTTAGCCTTGTCTAATGAATGTCTGTGTAGTAGGAAAAGACAAACCTGAGCAGTAGGAAGTGGGCAGTACCTTAATAATGGAAAGCCACTGCTTAGTAATCTTTGCTCTTCAATTCCAACATTCAAAAAGCATTTTTCTAAAATTTTTGTAATAAAATCAGACTCACTTGGTGACATATTTATTATCTTTACTTGGTCCACTTACTGTAAACATATTTTGCTTCAGAAAACACCCCAGAGTTTACAGTCTGTTACACAGTATATGCCATAACATTTCTTTTCTGAAATGGAAATCATTTCCAATTCTAAAACAAAAACATATCTGGTCCCAGGGGTTTTTAGTAAAGACCCATGGATTTATGTTTTTCTTTTCTATGTCAAGTAATTTTAAGGTGCTAGAGATGATGCCACAGTATTAAGATCAAAATGTCAGAGTTAAGGTATATGTTCCATCTATAGCTAGAGTTTAGGTAATTCAGAAATCTGGCAATGTTAAATAGCACTGAAATTTGGGTAACTATTATTCTTACTTCATCAATTCATTTTTATTTATTCCCATATTCCTAGCCCAGGAATTCAAAGATCCAAACATTTAAGCCAGAAACAAACACTGCAAGGGTCACAAAGCGGGAGCCAAGCAAATTGTGCATATAATGCTCATTAGTCAGTCAAAAATATTGTTTCTTGAAAAAAAATTTCTATATATATATATGCATGCATCTGAGTTTTTGTGCAGGTAATCTCTGAGCCAATAAAGGAACTTGGATCCCCTAGAACCAGTTACATACAGGCCATTTGTGAATTACCAGATGTAGGTTTGGGAACTGAACCTAGTCATCTGCTAGGGCAGCAAGAGCTCCTAATGGCTGAGACATCTCTCTAGCCCTCTTTTTTTTTTTTTTTTTTTGTTTTTTTGAGACAGGGTTTTTCTCTGTGTAGTCCTGGCTGTCCTGGAACTCACTCGGTAGACCAGGCTGGCCTCAAACTCAGAAATCTGCCTGCCTCTGCCTCCCAAGTGCTGGGATTAAAGGCGTGGGCCACCACCGCCTGACCTCTGTTTTTGAAGACAGTCTTATATCCCAGGTTGGCCTGAAACTTGTGTCCATCCTCTGCCTTAGCTTCCCAAGGTCTAAAACTACAAGTGTTAGCCAACAAGACCAGCCTAGTACAAACCATTGGGAGGGACTATATATTATACATACACACATATATGTGCATATACATTTGCACACACATATGTGTGTACTTATTAGTATGTTTATATTTTGCAAACAAAATCCACATATTTTTATGTCTACTTACCCCCCTTCCTGCCCTAAAGACAGGGTCTCATGTAGCCCAGGGAAGCCTGGGACTTGCTATGGAACTAAGAATAACCTTGAATTCCTTCCTGATCTTTTCTCCTTTGAACGTTGAATGCTGGGATTACAGCCGTGTGTCTCCATGCCTGGCTAAAAAACACTGTTTGACTTCAATATCTTAGAAACTTATGAAACCTTACTCAAGTTCTTGTCCAACACAAAATAAGACAGCTTAAGCCTGTTAAATTCTCTTTACAGAAAGTTGAATAGGCATACCTGCCATAGTTAATTTAGGGACACAAAATTCACATGTGAATTCTTCCTAAGCGTGTTCAAATCAGTAGACCTCACTCTGTGAATGAATGGTCTAGCAGTGCTCTCTAAGATCTTGAGCTGTATTACCAAGCTCCTGATGGGCAAAGTCATCCTGACTCTGTGGGAGGTCTTGCCCGCAGAGGAGAGCGTATGCATGCCTATGCAGGTCATCATCAGATGAAGCTTGATAGGCTGTTTAAAAAATTATAAATAACTGTAATCAGGAAGAACTCACAGAACACTTGGTTCAGCCTTAGGGACATTTTACTATAAAAAGTACCTTAAAAGTTTTTTCTTTTTTAAAAATCTTAAAATAAAATACTCTACAATTGTTTCACGAATAGAAAAACCCATGGCTTGATAGTGAAAAATATTTTATATTATTATTATTATTGTGGCTAATAATGACAGCCATAATTTACTGTTACACAAAGCATTAAAAACTTGACTTTGCTAGACATCAACTCAGATCCTTTTCTCATTCTGTTGTGTGTCTGTGATACACCCATGTATGTATGTGGGAATGTGTTCTTCATTTGGAGACAGCATTCTTCACCTTACTGGGTTTGTTTTTGAGACAGGGTTTTCTCTGTGTAGCTCTGGCTGTCCTGTGACTTGCTCTGTAGACTAGACTGGCCTCAAATTTAAGTGATGGAATGGTTCTGCATTCTGAGTGCAAAGGAGTGTGCTACCACATTAAGCCTCTACTTTGTCATTTGACCTGAGCTGGCTTGCTGTCTCCCCAGCTCTTCTTTTTTTAAAATACAAACAGTTTATTTACTCTAAACAGCAACAAGTGAATTTCTCGGGATTATCATTCCAGATAGAGTTGATACAGTAGCTACTGTAAGCATCAAGCACTGCTTTTTTGCTTCATTAAATAAAGTTTTAAGAACGGGATTAACTTTTAAGTAGGTCTATAATCATTTCAAGACTAATTTTAAGGGTCTATTCTTTATCTGTGTGCTTGAAACACAGATAAAGAATATCTGATTGCCTCTCCTGTTAATTAAAACTGTTTCTTAGTATCAAGAAGATCTGCCTTTTATGTCATACTGCACCTTTAAGTATAATACATAGTGAACAAACATCAGTTCTCACAGGGATGTAATTTTCTGTGCAAGAATAATGTGACCTTAATTGCTTAACAATTAGAAAATATATGCAAACACATGGTGACCCACTTTTCTTATGTCCTTTGTATTGCTGAGACTTAGCCTTTTTCTTCTGTTTTGAAGACGCTGACTGGCTTTCTCTTGATGCTGAAAAATAAAAGGGAAAATTGGTAACAGAGAACGGTTAGGCAATTCTTTATGAAGATCATCATCCTTTAGAAATACATGCTGCTTTTAAAAAAGGGTATATCTGGTCTTACAAAACCTTGGCTGGTGGAGGTGGAGCATGCTTTTAATCCCAGCACTCCTGAGGCAAAGGCAGGCGGATCTCTAAGTTTGTGGCCAGGTTGGTCTACAGAGTGAGTTCCAGGACAGCCAAGGCTACTTAGACAAGGTGTCACAAAAACCAAAACCTAAGAAACCCATGTGCCTTACTATTTACTCAACAGCATTTATGAACAATGCATTTCCAGTCTGTAATATGCAGTTCAACAAGAGTGTAGTTTAATTTGGTGACTTCTAGTTTTCTCTATTTTACTACTACGTAACTGATACGGAGTTCATACCGCCATGGCATACACAGTCTAATTCTGTGATATTGTTGGGTCTTAGTATTTTACCTGGCAACTCATCTGACACTGATCTATTCTTGTCCTGTGAGCTTACCCTCGTGAGATATAAGATAGTTCTCTGGAGAATTAGCCTTTTTTTTTTGTTTTTTTTTTTTTGGTTTTTCGAGACAGGGTTTTTCTGTGTGGCCCTGGCTGACCTGGAACTCACTCCGTAGACCAGGCTGGCCCCGAACTCAGAAATTTGCCTGCCTCTGCCTCCCAAGTGCTGGGATTAAAGGCATGCACCACCACCGCCCAGCTTTTTTTTTTTTTTAAATATAAAAGAACATGCTTTCTGTACAGTCACTTACACTGTGATGCTGGAGGCTGAAGCTGATATCCAGTTAACTGACACCACCCTACAGGATAGAGGTCAGGGGACTCACAGTCTACCCACTGATCATATTCTTCTTCCCATCCATCAAAATGTATCCTCAAGAGACGATGAATAATTCGAGTAACTGTGGCTACACATATTAACCGTGGCTCCATGAGATCTACAGCTTCTAATTTCATTCCCACACGGAATCCGTGGTTTGGAACATCCTAACACAGAGAAATAAAGTATTAACACTGGTGCTCAGAAAGACACAAACAAAACCTCTGAAAACATTTCCCAAAGCTCACAACAGTTCCTCAGTTATGCCACCATATGGTACAAAGCACCCCCCCCTTACACACACACACACACACACACACACACACACACACACACACACACA